AGCAGCTCTAAAACGAGGCTAAGAAGAGCTAAGGATTACTTTTCCAGGGTCTCTTTGCTCTACCAGTCCCAAGCATCATGTCCTCAGCTGAAGTAAACTGGAATAATTTTGTCAGCTTCAATGGTAATATGCAGGGGTCTCACTCACCTTTTCTACCCCAGACAAACAAGGAGCAGGCAGTGCAGTTAACAAAAATTATTCTCCCTCTAGCCTTAACCCGAAAAAGCTTTTATTGCAGAACATTTAGCATATACATACTCACCTGTCGGCTTTATTTCAGGTGTTCCTACCTAAACTTTTGACTTCTAATGAAGCAGCAGCCATATGTCATATTACAGGCAGGTGATAGATGGAGTTAATCACGCATCTTCAAGCCATTCCCTCTCTGCCCATTAATCCATTTCCTTTGAGACTTGTTCTAACAGTCCAAACCAGGAGTAGGTACAGCCAGAAGAAAAGGTTACAGCTTTGAAACTTTGATGAGATTTTTAACTTGAAAAGAGCCAGGAATGTACATGTGTGAACTCTTGCCCCTTTCCCAACAAACACTAATGAACAGCTTCCAGCTATTGGCATTAAAAATAATCAGCCTGTCAGGGAAAAGTTTCTTTACCCAAATAGAGAAGGCTTCCCTCAAGCTCTCTCTCCAATTTATGTGTTTGATGGTAGGGATTAGTCCTATATTAGTGACACATTTATGGGCTACTATCTTGAGGGCTGGAAACAAAAAAATTCACATCTTTCCAAAAAAGAAATCTCCCTTTCTACTGTGACATGTCATGTTAAGCTCTGGAAGGTTCCTACGTACCAGATATCAGTTGTAACATTTTAAGGTACAGAAAAACAACTTAAAATTCCCTCTGAAGCAGTACATTGAATTTCTTTTCTAAGTGTGATGGTTGTACTTGTGGTATGAAGGCATCTGGATTCACAGAAAGAAAGGTATGAAAAGACTCACAACACAGTGAAAATTCGTGAGTGTGCAAGGAAAATAACATAGAGAGACTGTCAGAAAGCCCATCAGCCCTTGGAAGCTAGAGAGCACAGGGCTATTTATAGAGGTTCCTAGCTCTGCCACTAACCTGAGGTATGTCCTTGGGTATGTCTCTTCACCTTGCTGTGATTCCATTCCCCATCTGTAAAGTGAAGATAACAACATAACTTCATGAAGTGCTTCAGATGGCAAATGCAACATAACGCTTAGGATTAGCTTACTGGACACAATAGGGGGTTAATAAGATCATTCATTGTCTCCCTAGTTAGAAATAACATAACTATTTGTTAAACTCTTCCAGTCACCCCACTTCTGCATCTCTACAGCAGCTAGTTAAAGCACATTATCCTTGTAATAAATATGTGAAAGAACTTCCATCTGTACCAAGTATGCATAGCACTATTCATAACAAATCATTATTTGCAGCAGCAATAGAAGAATAAGGGTGTTTCAAGATTTGCAGTTGAAAAAAAGAAAGCATTTACTCTAGCTGTTGACAACATACAAGCATGCAGAACAAGCAGAAAAAAAGCCTACCTAGACTACGCACTCGAGTTCTGTGTTATGATTCTTCATGGTGGGGAAGAAAGAGGAAGATTCTCTCAGGCAATTGTTAAATTTAACCTTTATGTGGAGTTGCAGGATAGTCTAGGGACTTAATCGTCTATAACAGTTCAATGGAAATTTTAGTGACTGACTGTTCTCCCATTAGACTGGAGTCCTCAGGAATAAGTGAATGATAGTATATTGTGGAATTACTCTTCTAGTATGTATTTACATTTTTATTTGCCTGTGAACGTGAGTATGTGCTGGGAACAATTATGGCACTATACAACTTGCAGTGATTGAAGGAAGACTTCATTTACTTTAAAATTAGCTTCTAAACTATCCACTTGTTTAATCATAACAAATTTGGAATATTTTTCTTGACTTTAACAGCTGGACACGCGGCTCAGGATATGTGGGTCATTACTTCCTCATTCTTTAACATAAAGGCAAACACAGCCTGCTTGGGATTTCTTGGGACTCTTAAAGATATCCACATAATCCTCTGAGAAACTGTATTAGGTCATGTCAGCATGTCTTTAAAACTCAGGTCATAGCTCCTGTCAGTGCTTGGTTTTCTAACAGTAGATGTGAAAATCTGTGATCAAATACATGGACTGTTATTTCATCTACATACTGTGACGAGTAAAAAGCCAAAGCCCATAGTCTAGATTTTTGTTTTCTCGTTCATTTGCAAACTCTCACTTACTTCTCTTGGACTGCAATTTCGGCCATTTTGTGATGGAATGGAAACCTTCTTTTGCCCAAACATGGCCAAATTGCATTTTTGGCTCTTTCAGTGCTCTCACAGCTCTAGCTCCACTGAAATTATAATATTAGTCTGGACTTCCATCACTGTCAATGCAAGCAGAGCCTGTCTGCCAGCATACAGACAGACTCAACAGACTGAAATCTGAATGGAAAATAGGGTAAGAATAGGAGTGAATGGTGCCTGAATTTATGCTACTGCAGAACACTCTTGGGTGATGCTCAGGATATAGAAGAGATACTTAGAGAGGTGGGAGAATAACAAAAAATTAAGAGTGAGAGCATAACAGGCAGCATTTTCAGTTGTTTTTTTTTTTTTCCCAGATAAACTTTTATGTAGTTCATCCTAAGTGCAAGCTGGCTTGCTGAAAGCTATAGTATCTTCTTCCCCTACTGTCATGATAACTTTGGCAACAGAAAAAGATCATATATGTGAAGTGACAAAGTATCTAAGTGATCGGAAACAAACTGTTTAAATTAGAGAAAAGCTGCAATTTGGAGAAGGAAAGAAGCCATACCCTCTGGAACACAATGATGATTTGTGCCCTTTTAAAATCTTAGAAAACCAAGAAGTGCAGATGAGCCAAGAACTGTTTTGGGAAAACAAAATACTCTTTCCTTCCTCCAGAAGAAACCATTCAGCAAAACTAAAATCATGACTGAAGGACCAGAGGCTCTGAAAAGGGCAATACTGGTACCACTGTTCATCAGCAGAGAAAGAAATGATATTTTGGTCTACAGGGCCACAGTGGATAATTTTTCAGTGGCCCCCCTTCCCTCTCCTCTATTCTACCAGTCCAGTCCCTGTTTGCAATCAGTGCCTTGGTCTGTCCTCACGATGGGAAAGGCACATAAGAAGCAGTAAGGGATGGAAGGCAATAAATAGGTCCATGGCCACATTGAAGACAGTGCACACTGTTCCCCCTTGGTCTTTGCTAGTGGTATCCTAAAGCAGAGTCTCTTCCTGCACAACTGTTTCCACAATCAGGTTTCCATCTGAATAGTGCCCCTTTGACAACATATGCCAGTGAAATGGGCAGCAGTAGCTCTCTCTGCAACATACTCTGCTAATTCTGTGATGAAAGAAGTATGTATTCCCTGTGCATTTCCAGTCTGTAGCCCAAATTCAGAGAGGATCTGACAGCCAGGATGTAGAAGCATGCAGCAGACTCGATGATAAACATTGTGTAGGTTCAGTTACCTGAGCCAGAAGATGTGACAACAGTGGTTTTCAACTCTAAGACAGGGAAGTTCAGCAAAAAATTACTGAATTTTGTAACTTCGTTGGGGAGTCTCACTTCAAGTTAAGCTGAGATTATTTCGTTGCCAGCTGCAGGTACACTCATATGACTCAAAAAAAGTTTCAGGATATTTATCTAGAAACCTCAAAAGAGGGCTAAGAAAGAGAGAATCTGACCTTTTTTCTCTTTTCCGTTTTTTAAGTAGAAGGAAATTCCAAAACTTTCAGTATGCAGGCAATTTACACCAATTACAAAACAAAATAATATAGATAAAATTGCTAGATTGCAAATGAATATACCAGCTAAAGCTGCTCTTAGATTGCATATGTAATTTCTGATAAAACATGGCCTAGAGACCTCAGATACTAAGGGAAAAGGAAGAACAGTTTATAGCTCTTTGTCCCTTTCTACAACAGCCCAATTTTCTTGAAAGTCTTCCTGCTAAACACCTCTCATTTTCTCTCAAATAGATCACAGATAATGACAGGCACAGATACAGTTAAATATTTCTACTTCGGTGGCCAAAAGTAAATAGTAAATAATGAGAATTCGTCACCGTTATAAATGCCATTAACTGGCTCTCACAATCCTGCTGTTCCAAGGGGAAAGGTGACATTGAGCTTGCAGGGCAAAGAAGAGTGAGCATTTACCAAGTGAGTCAAAGAGAAAAAATTTAAATAAGACCTCTCATGAAAGCACTGATTGAGAAGCATGCTTGCTGCATGCTGCCTTTACTTAGATGTCAATTGGATTACAGTTGCACATATTTATAACTTGGATTTTTTTTCAAAAAGGGAAGGTATACCAGATCACTATTTCCTGCACTGTTTGGTCTACATTTACGTGGCAAGCAGAGGCAGAAAAATGAAAATGAACAAACCTAGATCATCTACTGCCAAAATATGCCAGCGTTCCCAGGGGCTGGGAAGGCAGGCAGAAGCAAGCTGGCAGGCCAAGAGAGAAACATTTCTGCTCCTAGGAGCCAGGAGAGATGGAGCTTCCTGAGCACACAATTTCCTGGGGGGCCACATTTGGCCACGAGGGACTTGGAAACTGCTGTTTGCTTCTATCGTGGTGATGGGAACAGTGTACGTCTGTATGTACTCTGCAAAGAAACAGTGCTGTGCCTCTAGGGTAGTCCATTTCTCGTTGATAGGAACAACCCTGCAGAGCCCCAAACATAAGCACACATCTTGCAATACAGGGATGAGAGTTCCTGTTTTGAAAGGCGGGCTTCTACTACTTTTTAGGAGTTTTGAGCTTTGCAGAAGCAACTTGCTAAGGCTAAAGCCATCAAACAATTTAACTTCCTGTTCAAGCGTTGCCATTACAGTGGTTTCACTTGGCTGTGTATCATGTGCTGCAGAGGGAGGAGGAGAGAAGTTGTGTGAGCAATCGAGGGTGCAGCCTGGCCCCACGGGGAAGGAAGGCTAGCGGCGCAGGGCCCCTGGGAGACGTGGCAGTGCCTGGAGGGGGTGGGGACAAGGCATCGGGCCCACCATTAGCACCATGCTCCTGGGGATCCTCGTGGTGCTCTGCTTCATCCCCACTGCTGATGTAACAGGTAACAACCCCCCCCCCATTTCAATCCTTTCCACTATTTTTCTCACTTTGACCATCATGGGGGAGACGGTCTAGTATAGCTTTGAATTAATTTTGCACAAATTATTCTGTGTTTGGATGAAAGGAGAGAGGCAGAGCACACTGCTAAGACTGCACATGGATCAACCTGATATAACTAAGAAGCTGATGTTCCTCCTGCCACAAGTATCCCTCCAATATAAGACCTAAGAGCTTTCTTTTAATTTGACTTTTCTTTAGATGCATTTGAAAATTGCATGCATAGGCAGAGGGGAGTTTATTTCACCTTCCCCTAGGCTTTACAAATTTTGCTCACAAGTGCTTTCTGTTAGGCGTCAGAGGGTCTGAGCAAACCCAGTGCCTTTCTTGGGGCAGCCTCTCCACCACCCCCAAGTCTCCTGTGCAAAACTCCAGGTCCCACCCTGGCCCGGCTCAGTGTGATGGGCTGCAGAGCTCAGCCCAGCCATATCCTCACAGGACTAGCAAATAAAAGGACCAAAAGCAGAGTTGCTTACTGAGCTCAAAGATGGGAGGATGGGAATTGCAGAGTTTCTGATTTCTGCATTGTTTAGTAGTTTATTGATACTTACTAGATATCCAGCTTCTTTCTGAAAAGATCAACAACAAAAAATGTCTACTTGTGATTTTGTAATCCTGAATCTTAGTGATTCTTTCTGAATCTACAGTTGTTGTGGCTGAGGGTATTTTGTCTTGGCATTGTCTTGCTGATGCAGTGTTTGTACGTTCAGAGTTAACTCTTCTTTCCAAGGGGTACATCAAAATGCAAAGCAAGGCAAGGGATGATGGCTTTTGCTAGGATAATCTTGAGACAGACAATTTTTCAAACCGCTGGCCTGTGAACTGTTGTTACTGTTTTTTTTTCCAAACACCAGTGCTTTGTATTTTACAGGGAAGTTACAGATAGGAAAAAATAAAATCTGTTTTCCAGTACGAAACTTTTCACATATGAAACATCTTTAAAGAGTTGCTTTTTCTAATACAAGAGATACAATTGAACCTATTGTTTTCTTATTTCTGTCTTATTTTTCTATAATTCTTTTCCCCAATGAAGGCATTGCAATTTGCATGACTTCATGATTTCTTTAAGAGATCGTAGTCTTTTTCTTCCTTGTCCTTTTCCCATGTTTATAATTCTGTGTTTGCAATACCATAATTATTTCCACAGCAGGCCCCTGGGTTGTCAGAGAAGATGCTGATTCCAGGAGGGGATAACAATCAGCAGTCGGTTAACAGTTTTAAAAACATTTCCATGAGGTGTGAACAGCTTTTAAGCAACTCTTCTGAATTGCAACAAAATAAAATATAGTGTGTGGTTATCAGACACTGGGGTTATGCCATAACCCTATATATATTTGTACACTTGCTTTGCATGAAGAACTTGAGTTTCTACAATAGCTTCACTGACATTGTTCAACCGCTTAAAGAGAAGCACATGGGGTAACTTGCTTTTCAGGGCTCTCATCTTTTTCCCATATCTTTTCTCCACGTCTTCATTTTGATCAAGGTGATTGATCCTTAGTACACGGAAAACATTAAGGCAGGTGAAAACCCTGCAGAACTTCCTCAAGCCACAAAGTGTATTATAGGCCTCAGGTATTTTGTTTTGGGGAAGACAATAGAATTTATCCCATTCTGCTCTTGTTAGACTGTACCAGTAAATGCTGCAGGTTGAGTTTGAATCATGGAAAGGGACTTAAAAGATCAGTTTGTTCATTTCCTTTTTGCAGAAACACGAACGTTTACAATATTTGTCCTCTCCCTGCTTTTTGTTGGATAAATAATTATCTTGCTATGGTCTGTCAGAGAGGCAGCTACATCAAGTTGCGCGTCCTGTGTATTTAGTGAAATAAGTAATATAAGTGGGCTCTTCCCACTGCAGCATACCACAGATGACCTCTTCTTTTTACTACCCACATAACCTTCTGGCTTATGGTCTCTGGGTGTTAAAATCAACCTCTAACCCACTAAGGTTACCAGAACGCAGAAGATGTGTGAGGCAAGGTTAGCCGAGATTAGGATGACTTCTACAAGTTCTTGTTTAAAAAAAAAATAATTCACAAACTGTCAAGAAAAACCCATGTGCTCACATTGGGTTTGATTAAAGCAAGAGTGTCACCTGCACTTTACGTTTTACTATGCTTCCTGCAGTAATTGCACCAAAGTATGAAGAATTAGCAGAAAGCAAGTCTGTAATGGCTAGAAGGGGCAGATCCCTCCAGCTGCACTTTATACATATAGCTGAGCAACCTAAAACCAAAGCAAAAGAGAAAGACCCTTGTACCTGGGAGAGAAGAATAAAGGCTATTAAACAACAGATCATCAGCAGCAAAAATGGAATAGCTTTGTTTCTAACATAACTGTGTGTCTTTCTGTTTGTGGATTAAATAAACTCATTTCAGGTTTCCCCCTACCTCCTCAGGGACTTAAGTGGGCCATTTCTTTACTGTGCTTATAGAAATCCCAACTTATCCCAGATTCAGTGCGCTGGCAAATAGCTCCTTGAAGGCAACCAGCATGGAAAATAAAGAAAGGAGAGTACAAAATATTTTCAGCTGAATATTTTTTCCAATAGCTGATGATGACTCATGGAAAGTTCTGGAAAAAAAAAACCCTCAAAATAGCTGTTTTCCGTACTTTGTCGTCTCTATTTCACTTTCTTGGCAAATAAGAAAGAAAGAAAAAAAAAAGGTCAATGAAGTTTTGCTTGCATCAGGAGTCCATGATTAGAGAGTCAGTATTTTTACAGATATTATATATGGATGACATTTTTTTCATGATGCAAAAAAACCTCACATGTGATTATAACAAATGTCTAGCATGACAAATAAGGTATAAAAAAAGCTTAACAAACATTTAGAGATCTTACACACCATTGTATATGAATGCTAAGATCCTGAGAAAGCTTGCAGCCTATGTACGCTGACTTAAATGATTTTACATTTTTAGAATTCAAGGCTTTTTGAAATTGTAGACAATGATTTTTCATAACCGCCATTTTCTTGGCTGGGTAAGGCCAAGACATAGGTATTTGTAACTATGCAGCATGACTGAACACAGCTTTGGAAATGGCAATCATAACCCTATTTAGGGGAAAGCATACACTAATGGAAACACATGCTAAATGTTTCAGGGTTTCACCATTTTAACAAATCCAAAGTGACACTTACGAGAAAATCTCTCTCTGTGAAGGCAAAAGCAGCCTCAGCCCATGTTTGCTCAGAATGGTCCAGATTCTACTAAGAATATAATCAAATCCTATTCAGATCACAAGTGAAGTAAGGGATGTTTGGCCTTACTCTGTTTTCCCCGTGAAACTAATACACATTTTGGCATGACTGACTTTCTTTAATTAAGAAAAAAACCCCAAACCTGGAGGAGGAGGATGACAGCAGGGCCTGTCTAACACACGTGCAGGGTAAGCCTGCCTTGCCCCTGCTGGCATTGCAGCCCAACCAGTTCATGTGATGCTAATTAGTTCCTCTGAATGAAAAACAAAAGATCTCCCTCAATTTAGATTTGAACTAGAGCCACTTTGTGAAAATGGATTTGGGTGCTTAGCTTAAACCATATAGGAGCAGTCTTTGTTTAATGATCCACAATTAAACTTTTTCCCACTGCTCAGCCACCATGCATCCCAACATCAGCAGCATGGGGCTGGGTTATCAACATCCAGCCTGCATGCCAAGGCAAACAGACAGGACTAAATCCAAGACGTGGGAATAAGTTGAAGGAATTTCTTTTTTCAGGTGACTGTATCAAAAGAGACTGGTTGCCAATTAGTACGATGTAATGCCAGGGACATAAATAGTGCAAAGCTGTAGTTAAATAGTAGAGCTCAAGGCATGAAGCTATGTACTAAACATCAACAATCCAGATTAGCTGGGCCTAATTCTTTGGGCTCTGCAGATGAGTCTAAATAACATTTGAAGGTGGTCCTTCCGTGATGAGATTTTCAGTGTTCTTTGTCTTTCCTCTTGCCATAGTGAAAATCTGATCAGGCTGAGCAATAAACATCCATTCGTTTTCTGTAAGTACTTACAGTAAAAAACAGACCAGCATTTTTCTGAAGTGTAATGGTTCTGCAAGTGTCTGTTGCAGGATGCCTCTTTTGGTTGTAAACTCTGAGACCTGAGAAAAGGTCTGTTCTGAAGGTGTGTATTCAGTCCCTGTGACAATCATGGTTGTAGTGGTGGGCACTATTGCAGTGCAAATCAGAAGATTAACTCTGTCTCAAGTGAGATGTGTAGAATTCTGCTGTGCTAAAGGTAGAACAGTTCCGCCACAGACTTGGACATTGCCACTTAGGCCAAAGATCAATTTTCTGGCCAACAAAAATATGATCAAATACCTTGTCTAAAGGGGTGGAATCCAAACCTCACCCCTTACTAGAATGCCTTATAAGCCTATGCGAGAGCTTGGTTGGAAAATGCTGATTCGATGAAACTGAAATGTTTTGCTGAAATGTCTTCATTTCGATGAAAATTCACCACAGGCAGCACCTGAGTAGAAACCTGCCTTGTCTCTTGTTAATTTGCTGTTCAGTTCCAGGATTCCAAGATCTGTGTCTCTTTCTGCTGGCAAGTCTGGAAATACTCATCCTTCATTAAAACAAAAAGTTTCACAGTGTCTGGGTTCCCTGTAATCATGGGACTTCAGAGCTGTAATGAGCTCTACTCCAGTCCCCATGCTAACTATGTTGAACAAAGAGACACAAGGAGGATGGACTATAGTCTTTCACTAAAGATGAGGCAGTAGAGCATTCCTTGTCTCATGTCTTCCTGCTGCCATGAGAAGAAAGGGCTAGTAAACAAGAGTTTCAGTGAGAAAATGAACAACTTTAGCAGTTTCATAGGTTGGGCTGGTAACTGGAGAACCTGCTAGCCGTGGGTTGTTTTTACTGCCCACACCCTACCACTAGTCCCGGTCATGTCATGCATCTCTGTGTTTACTTTGCTCCCTGGATCATGTTCATCCCAAAGGAGTATCCTACTCAAGAGGGTGGGGTAGTCCATCTTCTTGTGCAGGTGTGAACACATTAAATATAACCATTTTGTCCTAAATGTTGTTAAACACGTTGAAATACTTGTTTTCTGGGCATTCTGGATCTGGCCTCCTCCCCACTCCATTTCCCTTACTAGCCTTTTTTAAGTCTTATCATATGGATTAAGTAGAAAGAATGTAAGTTTTGCGGCAGACTTTGAGGACAAGAGACATGATTGTCATTCTCACAACTGCAGTAATTCTCAGGGATCTGTAAAAGGCTCTTAAGACCTCATACGAGTTGAGCTTGTATGAAGACTTATGCAGTCATATACACACACAAAAGGGCTGCCCTTTGTTCTGTAGCTTAAAAGTCAAAACTCCCTTTCTCTACTTATGGGTCATCATTTGGAAAGTAGGACCTCATTTGTACAGGATGATTTTTCTTGGAAGAAGTCTTTCTGCATAGTCCTTGCAGTGTTTCGTTGTTTGACATATAGTAGCACAGAGGTCTACATCTCAGAGAACATTTCCTGTTTATGTATCAGTCCAGTCAATTCAAATTGAATTATACCTTCATGTGACATGTTTTTTTGCTGGCCATTCAAGTGCTAAGTGCCAATGCAGTGTCAAATTAGTCAGCTCCCAAGTCCTTTGAGAATTTAAGAATCTACTACAGCTGCTAGCTAGAGAAATTACTTATTTTACCTTAAAGTGATAGCAGTTCATGCTTTTAGTGCTCATTGTGCAAGGTCCAAACCTTTGAAATGGTTCACTAAATTCCATCTACAAACTCTTCAAGTCTGTCCTTGCATTAAAAAGCAAATGTATAAATAGTATTCTCTTATCTGACTGCTAAACTAAGCATTTAATTCACAATATTTTTACTCCATAATGTCCCCTGGGAAACTGCTTGCTCAGGAAAGGATAGACTAAGATGGCCTTACATATACACACATGCAGACACACACAGAGTAGTCTTCTCTACCCTGATGTTAAATCTTAATCACATGGGACACCTCCTGCACTAGTGTTCTGACTCTGAAGAAAAAAACTCTTGAATTCCCAGTCTCCCCTAGTGACTATGTAATTATTTATATAGATGGGGATTGCTGCAACAAGAACTCCTGTGAGAAACTGCTTCTGCAGCTTGGTGGTTACATACTCCCTAGTAGTGCTTGTCAACAGGGGAGAGGAGATATGGAGAAGAGTTGCATGGGAGGATGTGGGGTTCTGAAGTCTCATACTGTATTTTAAAAACAAGTGTTTTTCTCACTTTCTCTCCTCCCTTCCAGAAAACAAGATTTTAGTGGCTCAGCGTCCTTTGCTCATTGTAGATAACAAAACTGCAACTCTAGTCTGCAACTACACGTACAATGGAACAGGGAAGGAATTTCGAGCTTCGCTGCACAAAGGAACAGACAGTGCAGTTGAAGTTTGCTTTATTTCGTGGAACACAACCAAAATTAGCAGTAATTCAAATAAAGAATTCAACTGCCAGGGGATTCATGATAAAGACAAAGTTATCTTCAATCTTTGGAATATGACTGCCAGCCAAACTGACATCTACTTCTGCAAAATTGAGGCCATGTATCCACCCCCATATGTCTACAATGAGAAGAGCAATGGCACCGTCATTCATGTGAAAGGTAAGCTGGGAAATCTTTGTAGGCCAGTATCCTCCCTATACACACTCCCTACATGATGGCTTGAGGCAGTTTGTTCCCTTCAAAAGGAAAAAAAACCAAAAAAGGTAGGGTTGCCTGGTAAAACTACATTCCTG